ATAATAATAATAATAATAATAATAATAATAATAATAATTTTAATCATATATAATCTCCATGAACATTTGGAAAACAGAACAACGATCAAAGGGACTAAAAACTAGCAAAAAAGAACAGAGAAAATTGGGTTTAAATTTTGAATGATACGGTACATGCCGTCGGCGATGAACAACCTCCACAGACTTCAGCACGGAGTCAGAAGTCATTAACCTCCCCCTCCTGTTCCGATGCCGATTCCAGTGGCATAAAGGCGTAGCTCAAATTAGGTGCAAAACACTATTCAACGAAGAAGAAGAAGAAAAAGAAGCAATCGACATTCATACTGTTGGAGAAAACAGGGGCAACTCACGTTAGGTGCAGCCCATGAAAAGAAAAAATGAAGGTAACTGGTGCCATGACTTTCTGTTCTATCCAAGCATTCGAGCGTGGCTATGGGACCACATACGGGAGCATCTTGACCGCCATGTGCACAGGGATTCAGCTATTCAGGCCCCAACCTTGGGGTCACATTTCTTTTTACCATGCTTCTTACAGGGGGCTGCATAAACGTTCTTAGTCTTAGACAGGTAATTGATATTTTCATATTCTTCCTAAAATCTTCGAATGAATCACGTCATACACGCTTGCATAATTAAAAATCAACCATACAGTTTAGGAGAGTTAATCAAAACCGGCTTCTGTTGGGTTCAAAATAACATCTCATCTGCATGTGAACAATGATCTACCACAATTTCTTGCTACTGAATAAAAATGAGTGTAATTATAAAGAAGTCTCCTAAGTCTTGTACCATACACTACACACAATAATTTAAAAGATTTAGAACAGAAAACCCAGAGATCATGAAATGCTCAAAGCATGGACTGGGAATCCTTTAAAAATGAAGTTATTTCTTGAAACAACTACAAAGAAGCAATAAAACAGATTAATTCATCATTCAAACATATATAAACAACTGAAATTCTCATTTGAAACAATACATAACTTCCGGAATTATATGTAATATCAGTTAAAACGAAAGGAGGACATGTAACTGAATGAATATACCTGAAATTTTAACCATCACCTGAAAAATCGTGGTTGATCGACGGAGGACGCAACAGAGGTCGCTTTGTGAAGGATTTGGCGATGTCGCTTGGTGAAGAATTTAAGTGTAGGATTCGGCGATGTCGCTTTGTGGAAGTTTTGGGGCAGATAACTCAGTTCAAGACTGTATTAGTATTATTATTAGGACTGCATTATTAATATTAAATTACAAAATTAATTTGACAAATTAAGGTTAATTTCATCATCATCAACATCAACATACCCACCCAGTATATTTCCAAACAGGTTAATTTAGACAAAACATATTTTTACAGACTAATTTTGGACTGGGAATTTATATTTCTTCTAAGTTAAAATGATTTCTGCTTGTCAACCTTTATAATGCTGAGGATCAGTTCAGTACATCAAATGAAACAATCAACAGCAGAATAAATGTTCAAGATGCCCATACAGTCAGTCTGAGTTTCTCTGTCTTAGCTAAATTACATTTTTCATCAGTATTCAGAAGTTCACACAGAAATCAGGAAGGAAGCATTTAATATACTTCTAAGGGAAAAGCTTTAGGTGTAATCTCTATACTATTAAGCCGATCAATCATCTTCATTGCCAGCGAAAAAAATCTATGTCAATCTCTCTTTCTCCGATCTGTATCAACAACGTATGCATTCAGATGCTGCCCAAAAATCTTTGTAGAAAAAGACTGCACGACATGTTGTCGGGCTTCCCGGCCCATGGTGCTCGACATTTGAGGATCCCGAAT